CATACTCTGAGAAGGTTCAGGGAAAGGACTATTAGTTGGAAAAATCTTTATATATATTTGCCTGATTAGAAGTGTTTAACTGGCTTCTAAAACCAAAAGAGTGAAAAATGTCATTTCTAAGCTAGATAAATCAGAACACATGAAGAAAAGAGGAGAGTCCTTAGGAAATGTATTAGTTTTCCTATTGCTGCTGTCACCAATTACCACAAACTTATTATCATGAAGACAATACCACAAATGTATTGTCTTACAGTTCTGGGGGGTCAGAAGTCAGAAATAGGTTTCACTGATCTATAAATCAAGATACCAACAGGGCTGTGTTCTGTTGGAGGTGCCAAGGGGAGACTCTGCTCCTTTGCCTTTCCAGCTTTTAGAGGCCACCTGTGTTCCCTGGTTCATGGTCCCTCAGTCTATCTTCAAAGCCAGAAATGTAGTATCTTTAATATTCTCCTGTCTCCTCTCACTTATAAGGACACTGTGATTACATACCCAGATAATCCAGGATAATCCCCCATCACAAAACTTAATCACATCTGCAATATCCCTTTGTCATGTAAGAAAACATACTCATAGCTTCTGAAGATTTGGACATGAACAGTTTGGGGGATACCATTTTTCTGCCTCATATAGAGAGATACCAAAATTAGAAGCTTTGGGCGGCATCCAGATGGGAAATGGCCTTTCTCCTTTGTTTGGTCCATCATTTTGATATATGGAACTTACGGTGAAAGAATTCTCTGGGAGATGGGGCTTTTGAGAAATTGAAAGTGCTCACTTCATGGTTGGTAAAGAACAACTCACTGCTTCACTGCACTCCCCTGATCTTCAGCAGAACATATGGGAGTGGGGAGCACATCCCAAATCCCTCAGTTTCTCATTGCTAAACTGCCTTGGTGGTACCTTTGGATTGATCCCTCTTGATCTTCTTTTGGCAGCTCCCTCTTTTCTTTCCTCTAGATACTCAGTTTCCTCTGGGCATAGATCTAGGGCCTTCCCAATCTCTACCCTCTTCCTTGTCCATCTTATTCCCTCTTATGTCTTTAAGTATCCACATTATGCTAACAACTCCAAAATGTGTCGTTTCAGACCCAGACCTCCCTTCTGAACTCCAGACCTGTATAACCAATACCTTTTATCTCTCCTTTCCACAACGTCCTGACATCTCAACATGTTCTGAAGTGGACTTTGGAAAATAACAAGTGTTGGTGGGGATTGGGAGAAATTGGATCCCTCATATATTGCCAGCAGGAATATCAAATAATTCCGCCACTGTGGAAAACAGTTTGGGGATTCCTCAAAAAGTTAAACACAGAATTAACATATGACCCTACAATTCCTATCCTGGGTACATACCCAAAAGAATTGAAAACAGGAACTCAAACAAATTCTTGAACAAGAATATTTATAGCAGCATGCTTCATAATAGTCAAAAAGTGGAAATAATTCAAATGTTCATAAATGGATACACAATCCGTGTCATATAATGGAATGGAATACTATTCAGTCTTAAGAAATGAAGTATTGATACACACTACAACATGAATGGAACTTGAAAACATTACACTACGTGAAAGAAGCCAGAAACAAAAGGTGGCATATTGTGTGATTCCATTTATATGAAATATCCAGGATAGGTAAATCTGCAGAAACAGAATGCAGTGTTGTTGATGCCAAGAGCAGGGTGTGAGAAAGTGTCAGAATGAGTAATTGCTTAAATGGGTGAGGGGCTTTACTCTGGAGTGATGGAAATGTTTTGGAACTACTGGTTGCAAGACATTGTGAATGTACTACATACATGCTAGTCTTGAACTCCTGAGCTCAGGCAATCCACCCGGAGTGGTAGGATTATGGACTTGAGCCATCTCACCCAGCTATTTGTTTGTTTTTGAGACAGGGTCTCACATTTTTGCTCAGACTAGAGTGTAATGGCATGATCATAGTTCACTGAAACCTTAAATTCCTGGGGCTCAAGTGATCCTCCAGAGTAGCTAGTTACATGCCAACACACCTGGCTAATTTTTGAATTTTTTTTTAAGAGAAGGAGCCTTGCCCAGGCTGGTCTCAAACTCCTGGGCTCAAGTAATCCTCCACCTCACCCTCCCTACTGGTTTTGATGCTGAGCCTCTATTCCCTTTTCTTCTGCTAAAAGACCCTGGTTTTCCTCCAGGGACTCACTCTTCTCTGTCTCAGTCCACTTGCTTTGGTTGGACCTGATTCTACTCTGCATCTCCCTTCCCCCAGTTCTAGGGTAGTCACAGAACTCTGGACTGGCCTATCAGAGGACAGCAACCCTTTGGCCAGATTAATTGGTTCTTTGACAGACACATGACCCAATGTGGACCAATGAGAATCAGCCTCAAGACTTCTCTTTGCAATTTAGAAGAGAGTGTTTTTTTAATCTTTAACTGTGTAAGATAAAAGCCTGAAGCTCATAGAAGTCATCCAGTTGAAGAAGGTTTATTGAGGGGATGCCAATGTGGCATCTACTAAAAGATGAAGAGGAACTAGGATCTAATGGCATTGTTTAAATATCTGGAACCAGTCATACCTGCAGCTTGACCCTTTTTATTTTTTTTTCATTAAACCATAGGTTTCTGACCCATAAGTTACTGCTCTTTTCCATCTCATGAAGTCATTCTTTATTTTCTTGAAGTAAATCCTTGAATAATTTTTTTTTCAGAAAGATTGTATAGATATCATACTTCATAATACTCTATGACCAAAAGTTGTCCCAATTCTGGAGCCTTCCTGTTTTTGTCATTTCATATATCTCCTTGGGAAAAATAACAAGTATAACTGGTTCAGCATTTTATATGGTGTTCAATGTTTATGTATTATAGACACAGGAAAGGAAGTATCTTTAGGAAAAAAAAATGGTTTATAGCCAAACAAATATGGATTCAAGTGCTACCTTTTCCACTATCTGCGTGATTGTTGACAAATTTCGTAGCGTCTCTGAACCTTTCTTCATCCAGAAAGGAGAAATGATATCACTCTTGTGAGACTTTTATCAATAAAATAATGTATGAAAATTCCCCAGATCAGGTCCCAGCACAAAATAAGCCCTCAGTAATTTCAACTTTCCTTTCTCTTCCCTTTCCTTAAGATACTTCAATAAATTTCAATAAAATATAATATTGGCATTTAGATGAACAATTATTTTAATAACATGTTTTAACCCCAAACCCTTATTCAAACATCTCACTAAGGTTTGAAAGTTGATACTAACATTTTGATCAGTGCAATTATTATTATTATTATTTTCTTTCTTTCTTTCTTTCTTTTTTTTGAAACAGAGTCTCACTTTGTCACCCTCAGTAGAGTACTGTGACATCACAGCTCACAGCAACCTCCAGCTCTTGGCCTTAGGAGATTCTCTTGCCTCAGCCTCCCGAGTAGCTGGGACTACAGGTGCCTGCCACAATGCCAGGCTATTTTTTTGTTGCAGTTTGGCCAGGGCCAGGTTCAAACCTGCTACCCTCGGTATAGGGGGCCAGCACCCTACTCACTGAGCCACAGGTGCCACCCCAGTGCAATTATTTTTTAAAAGTTACAGTCCCAAGATGTTATACTTCTAAGACAGCAAAAATCATATTGAAATTTTAGTGTTGAGTCATTTAAAAATATATATCAAATGTAGGTATATGTGTTAATGTATGGAAAATGCAGAAAAGAATCTTCCCTTTTTTGTGTGCGGTAAAGCACAAAAAGCAGAGTGTAGTCTTGCCATGGTAGGCACACCTTGAGAAGACTCATTCTCTGCAGAATTATTCTCAGGCTGATCTGTAGAGTTTAATATAGTGTTACACACAAAATGAAGAGTTTAAAATACATGCCAATTATCTTGTAACTGGAGATTTAGGTAAAAGAGATAATTGTTTTGGACATCACAATTTATGTATATGAAAAAACCCTTGTGGAGAGAGAGACAATGTCTTTTCAGGTAAAAAAAAAAAAAATTAGGCCCAAAATAAAAGTTGTGCTTATTATTCTTTAGCTATAAAATGTGTTCATGTAGCAAACTGAGAGCTTTTCTTCTGATTTACAGTTTGGAGTTTATATAGTGCTTTACATTTTACAAAGTACCTTTATTTATATTGTTTACTTTGGTCCTTAAAGTAACCAAGATTCAGATGGTTCAGTGATTTATCTAAAGTTACATGGTTTGTAAATGGTGGAACAGAAAGGAAAAACCAGCTGTTGTCTCTCTTAGCCCTGGGCTGTTTTACTCATTGTTAGAAAAGGAAACCTGATTTGAACTCCAGTGAGTGAATACATGCTTAGCTTAGATTTTATCATTCAAATGAAGGAGATCCCTCTAACAAGCTACAACCATCCACTGGAAACCAAAATCACAGTGGGAATTCTCCCTAAGCTCACAGCCCACAGGAACTGTATTAGAGGGCCGCGACATTGGGAGGGTTGAGAACCACTTCTTCTATGGCTTTGTAATTATTTGTTCCTTTGTTTCTCTCCTTGGTCACAAACTCCTTCAGGGCAAGGACTGTGCCTGTCACCTCCACAGCCCAGGATCCAGCACAGTGCCTGGTACACAGAATGTGCTCCACACATAATTGTTCAATACCTGTTTGTTGTGAAAGAATAAATGAGCACAAAAAATTAACAGGTCTCTCTGAGACAAATGATGTGAGAATAAAAATAAAATCCTTCCTTATTAGAAAGGTCAAAGCTCCACTTACATATCTATGAGTAGGGAACACAGGCCTCAGATGTGAGAAGCCATATGGGATTCTCTCCAGATTCAAATTGAAATTAATTTGATGAGGCAAAGGGATGGAAGAGAGATCAGGCCAGGACATAATCTCTGGAGTCCTCAAGATCCAAATCTACTAAACCTTCAAAAGGCATAATAATCTTCGCAGCATGACGTCTCCAGTGAGCTTTCACAGCTGACAACCCCGAATGGCTTTACCAAAGAGTGGTGTACAAGTCTGTTTATACAAAGCATTAAGCAAGTTTCATTCCAAATCTGCTTAAGTTCAGCTTCTCGGCCTTTTGGCTGAGATCAAGTGTAGTATCTGTTCTTATCAGTTTAATATCTGATACGTCCTCTATCCAAATCTACTTAAGTTCAAATTACACTTTTAAAAATAACTATTAGAAACCCCATTTAGGAGGACTGCTTGAGTTCAGGATTTCAAGACCAGCCTGAGCAAAGGTGAGATCCTGTCTCTACTAAAATAAATAGAAAAATTAGCTAGGCTTTGTGGTGGGTGTCTGTAATCCCAGCTACCGTACTTGGGAAGCTGTGACTCCTAAGTGATTCTGTAAGGGCCAGACCAGTGCCATTTTGTTGTCTACTACATAAGCTCTGTTAAACCGCAGGGCCACTCCCTGCTGCCTCCCCCACCCCTGGTTGCACAGCCATTAAGCCGTTGAATTGAGTCACCTAAGACAGACAGCTGCCATAATAGGCAATAAGTATCAGTTCCCTTGAACAACTCCCATAATAGGCAATAGGTATCTACTTCCTTGAAATTCAGGTATTCTCCTTTCTAATTAGGCTACACCACCTCTAGCCCTGGTTAAGAAATCCCCTACCCTTCACCTGTACCAATCCAAATCCTCCTTTACTAGTGAAATCACCAACCACCAATGAAAAGTGTACTCATATCCGACCCTACCCCTCTTGCTTTCTGTATCCCATAAAAAATGCCTTCACCCCGAGTTTGGGGCTCGTCCCAGGCTTGCATGCTGGGCGGGTCCAGACCAGTCTGCAATAAATCTCACCTTATGCCTCTTACATCGGAACGTGTCTCGAGTTTGTCGGTTGGGGCTACTTCGGGAGGCTTTATTGGACCCAACAATTCCAAGTGATTCTCAAGGAGGATCACTTGAACCCAGGAGTTTGAGGTTGCTGTGAGCTAGGGTGACACCACTGCACTCTAGCCTGGGACAACAGAATGAGACTGTGACTGAAAAAAGAAAAAGAAAAAAAAGAAGAAACTCCGTTTATCATTTGAACATCTTTGCTTCAGCATACCCAGTGAAAGGTCGGCTTGTGGTCATTTCACCCACATTAAGCAAAACACCACAGCTAGTATCCATCATGACAAAGCCTACCATTTGCTATGCATTATAGGTTGTCTAAAGTCACATGGTAAGTGACAGAGGGGGACCAGAATCCAAGCCCCCACTTATCCCAGGAAACTTTTCACCTCAACCTACCACAGAATTTCAAAAAATAAAGTAAGAATCCCCAGACTTATTTTTTAATTTCTTTGGGGTTTTTTAGACTTCATTAACTTTGGGCTGTGAATCATATGGAAACTTCCTCATCCATTATTGAGATAATTATGAAAGCCCCAAGACATTCCAGATCTAGAATGTATGATTTACATAAAGCAAAGGGTGAATGGGGCCCCCTGGAGCTGTACAAAGCAGCTTTCCTGTTAAAGCAAATAGTGTGAGAAAACACCCCCACAGAGTGTTCTGAATCACTAGGAAGTGCTGGCTATTTATTCAGATTTTAGGATGAGGGAGACCATTTTATAGCATTGGAACCAACTTTGCTTAGGGAAATAGGCCCCTTTGCTTAGGTTCCCCCCAACGTCTGTTGTCTTAATGTTTGCTTTGTGCTGTTTAAAGAGGCATATCTCCCCTTTCATTCAGTGCAACTAGTCATTTCTCGTACAAATCAAACAGCGTTTGTTGGGGCTACAGAAAGCAAAGCCAGTACCATTTGTCTAATTAATGACCTCTGAAGCTTTTATGAAAGGCTATCACTGAGTCTACATCAGGGGACAATGAATAAACTTGATGATTTACCTCCCTTCCTTGTTTCTCCAACAGAGAACAAGGTAGTGTGGCTAAGCTTTCCTGGTGATCAGAAGATTCTGAGAGAATCCAAATGTGACCATCTGGAAGAGAAGAAAATACACCACATGGAGAAAGAAGGACTGCCTCTCCTGGAGTTCCAAATAGAAAGATCTTCCTCTCACCTTGGGGGGAAATCCTGTCTGCATAGTATTAATACCCTGTAGCCCACCCTGGAGGGGATTAATCAGAGGCGCTTCCTTGTGGGCACCAAATATTAGAAGATTTTAAGGCTTCATGGTGGCAGAAACTAATCAATAAAACACTAAGTCTTTCCCTACAGAGAGTAGTAGCCATGCCCTTAATCTGCCTTAATTCATCAGCCGGAGTGGGGCAGGTGTCTGGCTTATGTATTACATAACATTTTCCTCAGTGGGCAGCAAAGCTGCTGCAGTCAGATGCGTACATACCTGGATGTGACCTGCTAAGTAAGTGATTCACAGATGGGGCCAAGATGACCCACAACAAAGCCAGGAGAGGGGAGTCTCAGGGAATCCTGGAGCAGCCTTCGTGCTTTGTAGATGATGTGGGTAAATATAGCTCAACCAGCTCAGAGTCACTTCAAAACATTGCTGAGAGCCCCTTGGCATTCACAGCCCCTTGCATGGCTGTGTTCATGCTCACCCCACTGAGAATCAGGGACATGTTCCCAGGTGTGCACCTGGTCAAAGGCACAGAAGAGGAAGTTTCACACATGGCTATCCTGTCTGGCAAGCGGCTCACATGTGCAGCAGAAATGGTTGTTTGCCTCTGTAATAAAATCATTGAATAAATTTTGTAGAGCTCTGAATAAGCCTCATAAGTATCTCTAGGCAACTCCTGGAGTTGGCAACTCCTCCAGGAAGGGTAGGGAGATTGTGAGGTACAGAACTCCAGGGACACAGAGAAGGTGGTGTGTCTCTGCCAAAGGCCTTGCACTGGAAACGCTATAGTCAAAGACTATGTGCCAACCATGCAATCCAATCAATATGATACAAAACTCCATAAAACTACAGAACCCTGCCACACACAGTAACCAATGAATACTTCCACTACACCGTGGAGTTTCCTTTGAAGACACTGCAAAACACTGTTAAGGTCATGGGCTAAAGGAAGGGAGACAAAAATCACACAAAGTAACATCTGTTCCTTTAATGGTTTAGCTGTCATGTGGTGGCAGCCATAAGAGGACTGTTAATCTGCATCTTTCAGCCAAATTACCCTTCTGAAAAGCTCCTGTTAGCTAAGCGACCAGCTGACTAGACTAAAACCGCATCAAGGATAGGGAAGGTCAGATTCAGGTTCTGTGGTACCTTCAATTTGGGGGCCTTGTTTAAGGAAAGAACATAAAATTTCAAATTCAAAATTGCTAGGAATCGCCCCAGGGTCTTGTAAGGGGCCCAAACAAATAAGGGGCCCTTAAACCCATATTCCCAATTGGGCGGAACATTACAACCACTTGGGGCCATTAAAAAGCAAGTTCCAATTGCAAGGTTATGCTCCATACGAATTAAATCAGAATATCTAGGAACTAGGCATCAGAATTCTAATGCACATTCAAGTTTGGGAGGCTCGGCGCCTGTGGCTCAAGCAGCTAAGGTGCCAGCCACATAACCTAAGGTGGAGGGTTCGAATCCCCAGCCTGGGCCCGCCAAACAACAATAATGGCTGCAACCAAAAAATAGCCGGGCTTTGGGGCGGGCGCCTGTGGTCCCAGCTACTTGGG